TCTACGGCTCAGTCCACCATATTAAACTCCCATTTTCCAATAGGAGCCCAGAACGGACAAACCAAGCACTGGCTCTAGATAAAGCCTTTTGTGTTTTTTTGCGACCTTCACATGCACTGTAGTTTCTCCTACACTCTTGGAAAGGGTGATTAGGGCAAAATCCTACACACTGGTCCTTTTAATTATTGTTTCAGTGATAAAGTCATATTATATTTTGCTAATAGTCTCCTCATTGTAACATATTACTCTTGTGGACTGCAGGAAATGTTTTTATTTAAACAGACCACACCTTTGCTCTCACACACTCTGAATTAGACCTATGTTTTACTATTAAAAAAAAACCCTCCAACAATAACAGTTAAAAATCAAAATGTTCTCATGATTCTCGTTAAAGAATAACTCTAAAAATCCAATTAATGAAATGTCTCCCTCTCCTCCTCATGTAGCACTCCGATCTCATAACCTTATTTTAACATGGAATATGCTCCGAGAGAGAGTGAGAGAGAGAGCCTTTATAGGTTTACACGGAGCCTGAGGTGTTGGCTGAGTGTTTCATATGAAAACAGAGAGGAACTTGAACTCATTTGGTTCCCTGAGCCAAACTCCTGACAGATGCACTAAAATGAAGCCCCAGAGGAGGGTGTCCGGACCTTTAGGCCCAATAATGTGAACATGTAGCAACCGCAGGAAGAAAAAAAAACATTCTGCTTACCCAATCACTGTCGACCTAGATGCAAATACATCCGCTGGCTCCATTTGATTATGAAAATGAAAAGCATGTTAAAGCCGCACCAGCCAACTTGGGGATGTCGGTACCCCCTACTTCAGTAGGCTATCCAGAAATCTGGCAAAGAGCATGTTCATGTTTACCAGGACAAGTTGTGATTATTCGTCAGTGTTGAGTAGTAATGCAATAATTAGTAACACGCTGAAAGCATTGAAAGATGCTAGCAGCGGTTCTGTTGAAATAAGGGGCTAAAGGGCAAATAGGCTTTTGGTCCAATGGAACATTTTTCAGACTACTGGGTTTTTGGAATAATGGGCCATTTGCGGTTTCACTGTTAAGGCAGGTCTTCTGCATGGAGTCACAGATGCTAACATTAAGTTAGCCGTTGATGGTCAGTAAATACCTCAAATATGTTGGCTAGCCCCATTTTAAACCATACTGTCTTGTTTTCTATTTCTACACCATTTCAATAGTTTTTAAAGACACAACATTTTTCAAGAAACTTGGGCGTCACTGTTCTTTATACAAAAGAGGTACAATTTTTAAGACAGTTGAAAGATGTGAATCTGACATTGTCGGGACAAAAGAAGGAAGAGACTTCTTCTCTGTTGCAGCATCTCTGGGTCATTTAGGCTGGTGTGATCACAGACCTTTTTTAAAAAATTCTTGTCTACTGCAGTTTTAACCAGTAACAGTCATTTCACCCTGTTTTCATGACTCAGAGAAAATTGGAAGAGAAAGACATCTTGTTCTCTGGTTTTTTTCACTTTAACCCTCCTATCCTAACCGCTGTATCCTCATGCTGGGTGAATTTTGACTTTAAATGATCCTGATGTGTGGCAAGTTAATCTGAATCCCTCTCCGTACCAACTACTCATAGAACAACATCTTGTATTGTCACGTAGCATCAGATCTCAGAGCGAGACCCACTTTGATGTGATCTCTGCTTCAGTCATAGCTCTCTAATCCAGTTTCCTATTTGACCCTCATTCTCAGCTGCGCCCCGCATGTCATTTTCACTAAAGAGTTCACATCCAACCTCCATAAACGGATATTTTATTAGGTTGGAAGCTAATTGTCGGGTCAGTGAATATTATTTTCTGATTTGACACAGACAACTGTTATGCAAGAGCTCAAAGGTACATTGGACAAATGGCGGTGAGGGATTCTCCGCCGACGTGGTCAGAGCTGCTGTGTGCTCCTGGTTTCCAAAGAGGCCTGGAACGTGGCATTATACGTCTCTGTTATCATGAGCTTTTTAAACACAGGCTCTGAAATCACTTAGGGAGCAGCTGCTTATTATTACACCAGAGTTTGTCTGTGTGATCTTATCTCATTCAAGAATTTTTTGTGGACTGCCTGGGTAAAGGAAAACAAGAGCTAGACAAGCATGAGGCTTATACACTCAGCCACTCGCTGGCTGAAACCTCACTCTCAGTTTTTCTGAAGGGGCTCCTGAGGCATGTGACAGGGAGAGCAAGGGATGAATACACATTTCGCTCTGAGCTACCAATACGATGCAGTTTGACACAAAGGAAAGTCACACAGATAGGTTGACCGATAAGGAGTTTAAGGCCAGTGCAATACCGCTAATGTTAGACTGAAATAATACATTTTGAAAGGTATTGATTTGGCAGGAAAACTTCTGAAACAGGATTTAGAAAACTTTAATCTCTTTCAGCATCATGGGTGGGCTGTAGCCTATCCCACCATGAGATGAGCAAAGAAACACTGGGCAGGACAAACGGCTAAAACATTATGTGTGTGATATTTTTTTGCCATTTATTTACCACGTGTTGAAGTAAAATGTCACATTTCAGACTGTAAATTCAAGTATCGGGGCAGTTTTTTAGACATTTTAAGTCAACCTCCTGGTCATAAACTTGAGGATTATCCGAATGCACCATTGGTTTTGCTCTCTGTGAGGATGAACTATCTTATTTGAGGAGGAGGACCAGTTTCAGCATGGCCTTCTGGTCCTCTAAGACCTACATTTCTGGGCTATTCAATCACAGAAAATGATGGAATATTTTCCTTTTTTATAAAAAAAATGGAATTGCAAATATGCAAATAAATCTGCATTCACTGCCAGTTTTAGAGACTTTAGTTTGAGGGGACCCACTAACACTAAGTTACAACACTTCATAAAAAAATAGCACCATAACTTACTAATTTCTCAGGATGATTTGAGAAACTGTGACATTTGATGAATCTTAAATTTAAGGCTCACTGTTCAGGGGATTTTCCCTACACTGCAGAGAAAATAGCACCATAATTAGAGCCAAAAACAATAGGAGCTATACTTTCCGCAACATAGCATAACTGGAGGCCAATTTACAGCTACACTTCAACTGGATTCCAAAGAGGCCCGAGACATGGGAGCCATAGTGTTAACTACCATTACTGAGATGTAGCTGGTTCGTTAGCAATGCCGTTTTGTTGGATAATATACTTTCAGTATGCCCATATATTATGTTCCTGGGTCTCTGCTTTGCAAGAACTCCTTTCAGCAGCTAATGGACGGGTTGATATGACCCATAAACCATATGCAGTAACTCCAGTGTTATCCACAGGGGTTCTTATCAGCCGGCCAGAAGAGGCCCCACACCAGTGTCTGTGGGTGTCAACCCACTGCTCTGCAGGGAAGATTTGTAGCAACGTTCACACAGTATGCTGCTTTATGTACAGCCAAATTTGTGTGAATGCGGTGCAGTCATGCTCTCGCCTCAGTCACATTTCATAATACCTCGGTTTTAACATACATTCCCAAGCCAAAGCATATTCTGTCATTCTGTATCACAAGCAAGCTCTCTGGCTGAAAGAATTATGAGCTGAAAGGCGACTATCAGAGCTGTCTTTAAGAGAGAGAATGTGTTGAGAGGGTCAGCATGGGAGCAGGACTGTATTCAAAACTTCCTCCCTTGGGGTATATTATGGACCCCCCACTGCTACACACACATACACACACTCTAGCCACCAACCCAGTTGCCTTACCCCACTGCAGCAGGTTTTAAAACAGGCAGAAACCCCAATGTTTTCACTGCCAACCAGCAACCAGTCTGATCAAGGCCTGAGATTGCTAATATCCTGGAAGTGTGGTTTAAATATCTCAGCTCATTCAGTGCCAGCTTAATGTGCCCCTAGAGACTCTTCTGTCGAAGGTAATATTTTTGGATTGCCAATTGTGATTTCTTTTTTACTGCATTTTTCAGACTGAGGGGAATCTGTTACTAAATCCCAAAAGTACATTATGGGTACCGAGGCTGTATAAAGGAACTAACATGGATTTTGCAACCTTTAGTTGGCGGTGTTGGCAGCTCTTTCTGCTGCTCTGCCCCTCCATGTCTTTCATTCAGGCTTTTTCTTTCTCGCTCTAATTCTGAGCTTGTGGGTATTTCCATTGCACGATCTAACCAACAAAAAGACCAGTTGCTTTTGGCCTTTGAGCTTTACCTAGGGACATTTAATCATCACAGATTTACTAACTGCACTTTCAGATTTGCCAGACAATACAATAGACCCACCAAACCAAGCCCTGCTCCCAGGACTTTACAGCCAGACGCAGAGTTGAATCTGGTTTTTTCTCAAAACACGGTGTAATTGTGCATACTATAGTGTGAGTGGAAGGGCTGTCTGTGCTTGACCACTGTCTGAAGCTTGAGCTGTCTGTGTGTACGATGGAGCTGGCTGCGCAGATACAGGAGCAGATCCTGGTATATCACAGACTGTGTTCCTTGGATTGAAGAAGCTGGGAAGACCGCCGACACATCTGTCAACCCCTCTGGGAGATCCTGATTGACAGGAACACCATCTCTGCTTCACCTAGCTCTACACTGTCGTGCGGGGAGCACCCATGTGGAAAAAACAGCACGGAGAGAGTTGGGAAGAACATGGCAGCTCTGGCCTTTGCCATGAACTCCTGCCATCCGCAGCTCCACATGACATGGCTGGGTGGCAGCGAGCAAGCCAGAGCTTCCATGTCAGCCAAACCCAGGGCCTAGAGAGTAGGTCAGAGCTGTTCTTGAGCTTGGAGATGAAGGATGGAAAAATAGGGCTTGTTTTCCCCCTCACACTGCCAGGCCTTTTACGACATGTGTGAGCCGTGCTAAGGGTGGATAAATTAAAACACAAGTGCCGACAACGCCACCTAGGTTTAACTGAGGCCTAGGACCTCTTAGGATCACCAAATTAAAGTTAGGGTAAACAGGTTCTTTTATGTCGGGGAGAGCAGTAAACAGTGTTATTTTTAAAACAATGAGTACAGCCAGTGGAACACAGTTGAACACAATTTATTTTAAAATAAGTAAAAACAACTAAAAGCTCTACCTTCAAATAAACTAAACAAAGAACACAAACAACTAAAACCCAGCTAAAATAATGTGGCACGGATGGAGTGGGGGTCAACAACGGCAGTCGCGGGTCTCTGGTGGCGACCACCTGCTCTTCACCTGGCTCCGCTCTTCGGCAGCCTGTCGAGGGAAACTCAGGGCCAGTCAATGTCCTTTAACAAGGCACAACTTTATATATTACACACTACACAAACACCGGTCTGAAACGGGACTTACGCGGGAGGGAGAAGTTTTACCTTCTCCCAATTATAGCCGCTAACGGTCGGTGTTTGCTCCGGTGTCTCTTCAGACCTCTTCCAGTGCGATGATCTGCTCTGTCTCTCTGTCTGCTTCCTGCTGTCCGGCCCGTTGTGACCTCCGTGTCCTCCCTCGTGCCCTCTGTGTCCTCCCTCGTGCCCTCTGTGTCCTCCCTCGTGCCCCCGGGTATCTTCCATAGTGTCCTTTTTATCCAAGAACAGTCACTCCCCTCTCTGGGTGCCAGGTGTAAGTCCTTATGCTTGATTAAGGTATGTCTCCGGTGGGGAAGTAAAACCAACGTAACACAAACACACTTCAAAATAAAAGCATGCAATAATAAATAAGACAAAAACACAGCAAATTCAAAGTAAAAGCATGCTTAAATAAAATCAAACTTCCCCCGTGACATCTCCCCACACTTTAAAGTTAGCAGTCCCTGCAACATGTTATGAGTCTCTATAACGGACTGGAGTTTGTCCAAAGTTTACCCTGGTGGAGCATCGTAGGGCACCCTCAGGTTCCACATTCACAGGCGGTATGGCTACCGGTGCTGGAAGGAACCCGTAGATCATGGGCTGGATGGGTCCCTGCATCTGGACAACCGGCTCAGTGGTTGGTAGCGGGACTTCGGTTGGGGGTACTGTACACACCTTAAGTGAGTTCCTATGGATATTTTGTATTCTGCCACCCTTCTCTGGCTGAATCTTGTACACAACCCCTGTATCCCCCACCTGCTCCAACACCACCCATGGCTCTGGGTCCCACCAAGTACACAACTTTCCTGCCCCTCGTCTGTTCCTATCTCGCACCCACACCCTTTCCCCCGGTAAAGTGGTAACGCTTTGGCCCTCTTGTCATAGTGCTGCTTGTTCTGGGTGGCTGCACTCTCTATTCTTTGTTTAGCCAGGCTATAAGCTAAGGACAGTTTCTGCTGGTGGTCTTGTACCCACCCACCTACATCGTGCCTCATCTGTTGGGGACCTACACCTAATCCTACATCAACAGGAAGTCGCAGGTGTCGCCCAAACATGAGGAAGGAAGGGGTATACCCAGTCGCACTGTGTGTGGTGTTATTATAGGCGTGTGTCAGTTCGGGCAGATAGTCGGGCCAGTGAAATTGCTTAGACGTCTCTAAAGAGCGGAGCATATTTAACAAGGTCTGATTAAAACGCTCTGCACTGCCATTTCCTGCGGGATGGTAGGGAGTTGTGCGGCTTTTAGTTATACCATAGGTATCACAAAATTGTTTCATAAGTGCAGATTCGAAATTAGGTCCCTGGTCAGAATGGAACGGGCGGGGCAACCAAATGGTTGGATCACATGGGTCCACAGGGCCTTTACTGTAGTCTGAGCTGTTTGATCTCGAGTGGGAATAGCCCAAGAAAAACGGGTAAACAGATCAGTAGCAACAAGAATGTTCTGGTAGGTGTCTGTGGGCCGACCTAAGGACAAAAAGTCCAACCCCACCACTTCTAAGGGGTAGGATACTGTGAATGGATTTAGGGGGCCTTAGGCTCCACCCTATCTCGCTGCAGGTTACAGGCAACACAACCCTGCTGCAACTGACGTACCTCCCTCTCCATATCAGGCCAATAGAACCGCTGACGGATCCGGTTTAGGGTTCTCTCCACACCAGCATGGGCAGCGGCTTCATGGATCCTCTTCCAAACTTCTTGGCTCCTAGATTCTGGACACACAATCTGGAAACACACTTCGTGTGTGTGCGGGTCAATCATTTTACGACACAGTATTTTGCTTTTAACCTGAAGTTTTCGCTTTGTTGCAACAGTCTCTGGGCTCTAAGGGACAATGTCAGGCGCTCTGGTCTCGTCGGTATCATTTGGGTTTCCACATACCTCTTAATGATTTGAAGGTCCGCATCACCAGCTTGTGCCTCCTCCCACTCTCTGCCTGTCCACTCCTCTTCACCTCCCTCAGGGGTCAGTTCAATGGCTGCCGTGACTGGAACGGTTTCCAGCTCAAGGTTTTCACATGAGGCATCTGCAGTCAGTGGGTTAATTGGAAACCGAGACAGGGCATCTGCATTTACATTACTTTTACCTGAGCGGTACTTGATGTCATAATCGAAGGAGGCAAGCTGTGCGACCCAGCGCTGTTCCACGGCACCCAGGCGAGCTGTCTGTAAGTGGGCCACAGGGTTATTGTCAGTGTACACCGTGAATCGGGCTCCAGTCAGATAGTCTTTAAATTTCTCGGTTACTGCCCACTTAAGAGCCAGGAGCTCTAGTTTGAAAGAGCTATAATTTGCATCATTCCGCTCTGTTGGGTGTAGGCTGCGACTGGCATAGGCTATCACTCGTTCTCGCCCTTGTTGGACCTGGGCCAAGACTGCTCCCAAACCATGATTACTGGCATCTGTGTAAACGAGGAATGGCAGGGAGTAATCAGCATATGCCAAAACAGGTGTTTGTGTTAAAGCTGCTTTCAGGTGATCAAAGGATGTCTGGCACTCTGAGGACCACTGTACCTTTCGGATTTGCGACTTTTTATCAGCAGGGATGCCTGTCAGCAGTTGGTTGAGGGGCGTGCAATCTTTGCAAAGCCAGAAACGAGCGTCTGTAATAGCCAGCTAAGCCAAGGAAGGCTCGTACCTGTCTTACAGTGGTGGGGATGGGCCAGTCTTTTACGGCTGAGATTTTGTCTGGATCAGGACTCACCCCTTTTGGTCCACCACATGGCCCAGGAATTTCACTTCCTTCTGCAGGAGTTTGCACTTATCCAGGCGCAGTTTCAAGCCATGCCGCCACAGTTTGTTAAACACCTCGTCTAGCTGCTGTAGATGGGAGGAAAAGTCAGGTGAATAAATGATAATGTCATCCAAATAAACCAGTAAGGATTCTGACAATTGGCCATTTAAACATTGTTGCATCAGACGTTGGAAGGTAGCTGGCGCATTGCACAGGCCGAAGGGCATACGCTCAAATTCATACAGCCCCAGCGGTGTGGTGAAGGCGGTCTTCTCCTGGTCTTGGGCGTCCATCTCAACTTGCCAATAGCCACTGGCTAAGTCAAGAGTAGAAAACCATTCTGCTCTGGTCAGACTGGTCAAGGTTTCTTCAATCCTGGGCAGGGGAAATGCATCTTTATGAGTTATTGCATTTAACTTCCTGTAATCCACACAGAATCTCCAACTGCCATCTTTTTTCTCACCAGTACTATGGGTGCCGCCCATGGGCTACAGCTCTCTTTAATGACACCTTGCTCCAGCATACCTGAGAGTAGGGATTTCATCTCTTTATACATGGCAGGGGGAAGAGGTCGATGTCGTTCTCGGATAGGTGGTGCATCACCAGTATGGATGCGATGTTGTACCAGGTCTGTACGTCCGAAGTCCTCATTGTGCTGTGCAAACACCTTCTGCCATTTCAGCAGCAGGGCGCGCAGCTCCTCCTGTTGCTGCTCAGACAGATCAGGCCTGTTGGAGAGTTCACTCACCCCTATCGGCAGCTTCTGGTCCTCCTCGTCAACTGCAGCATTTACCAGTGTCACTCCAACAACACAATCACCTTCAAGGGACAGGTTAAGGTCGCAGGCTCCATGTACATCCGCTTCATCCACCCGGGACAGTTTGCCAAGCTTCTGGTACCGATCTAGCATCAAACAGTAGGGGTGTGGGTTAAAAACTCTCACAGGGACTCTGCCATTTCTTATCACTGCTAGGGTCCTGGCCACCCTCACACTGCAAGTCTCAGGCAGCGCTTCAATTAGGGCACAGTAATCTTTTCCCCCAGGCTCATCCGAGCCCGACCCCACACCAGTACTTCACTCTTTGGGGGAATTTTGATGACCCGTCGGCTGGCTGGCCGCACGTACCCCAACATCCCGTCCTCTGTCATGGTAGCCTCAATGTGTCTGCATGTAGCAAATGCATCCCTCCAAACCCGCTGTCTCTGTAACGTCTGTGGGGGGGAACAGACCCTCTGGGACATTTAAAAAAACAGTCCAACAAGCAGTAACAACATTCATTCCAATGATGAGTGGGTGTGTACAGTGTTCATCCTTCACAATCACAATTCCTCTTCCAGGTATCTTAGCACCCTCTAGCTCCAGATCTAATACGGCATAGCTCGTATAAGGGATCTCAGGCCATTTGCGGCCTGTAACTTAAAAACTATAGGAGCCTTTCCAAGCTTAGCTTGGGTAAATGTTGCTCAAAGAGGCTTTGCTGCATTAAGGTGACCTGGGACCCCGTGTCTAATAGCCCCGACAGTGTAACTCCTTCAATGTTTACGTCTATAGTTGGACACCTTCCAATAAATGCTTCAGTGGGCCCGTTTTCTTCTGTTGTACTTTCAACCCCTGCCCCTCGGACCTCAGCAGCAGGGAAAGCTAGTTTAAAGCCTGCCGAGCAGTAGTTGGCCTCCTACAAAATCTAGCTATGTGGCCGGCTTGTCTGCATTGGCGGCAAATGGGCCTACCTTGCTCATCCCAGGTGTTCGTCTGGGAAACTGATCGTTGTCGCTCCCTATAGGGCTGTATTAGGGGCTGTGGTGCAATAACAGCTGGTTGAAGGAGCGGTTTAATCTCTCGCAACAGTTCCTGGGTCAGTCCGGTCATCTGAGATTTCACGTCTTCCATGATCTCTCTTTTCAGGGTCTCTCTCCAGCTGGTGTCCTGTGATGGAGGAGGCACATTTGGTTTATACACAGAAGCACAGATTACCTCCGGTTGGGGGTTCCCATGTTCTGTATCAAGCAGCAGCGCCTCCTGTCTGAGTGCAGAAAAGTTTCATCAGGGTTACGGCGGGCATAGACCTTCAGGGCCTGAGCCAGGGAACTTTCACGCAGCCCCAACAGCAGCTGGTCTGCAGGACTGTGTCAGGGGAGTTCCATCAGGGTCATGTTGCCGCAACCTGCAATACAGCTCTCTTAGTCTTAGAATGAATGAGGGCACAGTCTCGTCTGGTCTTTGGACACAACTAAAAACTGAGACCTTAACACTGGGGCGGGGGTTCTGTCTCCATATGAGAGTCCAAATACAGAAAGATTTTGCGTACTCTATCCCTTTCGTCATCCTCTAAAACACTGACCTGCCGTTTGGCTTCCCCAGCTAACGCACCCAACACAATGTCAATTTTTCTGGCCTTGCTAGCTCTTGCGCCCAAGTAAGCCCTGTATTTGCTCCTTCCAGTCATGATATTTCAGGTCACAATTTGGTCCTTTAAACTTTGGCAGCCAAGGGGCACCAGGATATACAGGCATCATCATATTCACTGTTTTAAAATACACCACACTGCTCTCTGTACCCGATCCTGCCGACAACGCCAAAATGTGAGCCGTGCTAAGGGTGGATAAATTAAAACACAAGTGCCGACAACGCCACCTAGGTTTAACTGAGGCCTAGGACCTCTTAGGATCACCAAATTAAAGTTAGGGTAAACAGGTTCTTTTATGTCGGGGAGAGCAGTAAACAGTGTTATTTTTAAAACAATGAGTACAGCCAGTGGAACACAGTTGAACACAATTTATTTTAAAATAAGTAAAAACAACTAAAAGCTCTACCTTCAAATAAACTAAACAAAGAACACAAACAACTAAAACCCAGCTAAAATAATGTGGCACGGATGGAGTGGGGGTCAACAACGGCAGTCGCGGGTCTCTGGTGGCGACCACCTGCTCTTCACCTGGCTCCGCTCTTCGGCAGCCTGTCGAGGGAAACTCAGGGCCAGTCAATGTCCTTTAACAAGGCACAACTTTATATATTACACACTACACAAACACCGGTCTGAAACGGGACTTACGCGGAGGGAGAAGTTTTACCTTCTCCCAATTATAGCCGCTAACGGTCGGTGTTTGCTCCGGTGTCTCTTCAGACCTCTTCCAGTGCGATGATCTGCTCTGTTCTCTGTCTGCTTCCTGCTGTCCGGCCCGTTGTGACCTCCGTGTCCTCCCTCGTGCCCTCTGTGTCCTCCCTCGTGCCCTCTGTGTCCTCCCTCGTGCCCCCGGGTATCTTCCATAGTGTCCTTTTATCCAAGAACAGTCACTCCCCTCTCTGGGTGCCAGGTGTAAGTCCTTATGCTTGATTAAGGTATGTCTCCGGTGGGGAAGTAAAACCAACGTAACACAAACACACTTCAAAATAAAAGCATGCAATAATAAATAAGACAAAAACACAGCAAATTCAAAGTAAAAGCATGCTTAAATAAAATCAAACTTCCCCCGTGACACATGGACACTCCTGCTGCGCAACATCGGGTCTGGTTAGCTTTCTGGAGGAGGCTGAGACTCTCTCGGTAGACAACCCACCTCCAGTTCAGATAACGTAAAAGACAAAGTCTGGAACACGAGAGATTCCTTAGTCTTCACAAAGTGATTTAGCACTTTTTCTTTACACAGTGTATATTCATGTAAATAAATAGAGTGATTACACATGGTGCTGTCAGCCTGCAGTTGACTGAAGCTAACATGAGGCTTTGAGTGTCCATGATAAAAATCGGTGGGTTCCCTATCCAGACCACAGCAGAGGGACGGCTTCTGCCAAGCATGCACCATTAGATCACAAGTAGCGCTTGGTGACTCATCTCTCAACTTCAAATGCACTTGACATGCAAACCACATAAAATTCAAGTGCAAAATCAAACAAACAAAAAAAAAAAAAAGTGTAACAGCGACACGGGTAACGGTTGAACTGGCCCAGCACCGATCTCTTCAAATCGTGCACACTCAGTCACTTTACTGGCAGCTTTTGAAATTTCTCTCAGAGCTGAAACATAAGGCGTTTTCTCCTGTGTTCATAATATAACTCACAGCCAGAACCAGGCTGGGAGATAATGATGATAATACGTTTAAGTCCCAGGAACACTGGGCCTTCAATGGGATCTGATGACCTCATTATTTCTCATTAGTCTCCCTGAGGCACCTAGATGAAGACTTTAAAGGTGGTCCAGAGGTTAATCCTGCAAGGAGAATGAACCCACTCCCCTGTATCTGTTTCTGGAGCTGCTGGACAAGCTGCCTCACCGCCGACTCGGCCAGCGATCAGTGTGGGAGCTTCTCCAGTGTCACAGATAGCCCATGCTGTCCCAGATAGCCTTTTGCCAGATAAACGGACAGAGGGATAAATGTCTGTCATGGTGATCTCCACCTCGTTTTCTGATGACCCTTGACCCTCCAGCTTTTCCTTCCTGCATTCTAACTCCCATGGAGCCGCATTGATGTGTCATCCACCTCATCCATCTCTCTGTGACCTTATTACTTATCTTCTATTTAGAAAACAAGATTTCCGAGCATTTGCGCCATTGCCTTACCACATCTGAAACTGAAACCAAACGCAATATTTCAATCAAGAACCTTGTCAAGTGCTACTGCTGCTGCAAGGATACAGTATTTCGCACATCTGTGTTGCTCGTATTTACTGTCAATAACTAAGGATTGCACAACAATCATAGTGCTTGAGAGTACTGCCAGATGTTCTTGTTCCCCCTCTTACTCTTTTACTTTTTAGTTTTTTTCGTTTGGGAGCTAAAAGTCTCTCAGGTGATGACAGGCCTGGGAAGTGTGAAGGGTAAAAGACAGCTTTGTGCTTTCCAATTAGCTCTGTGATTTATTAGCCTGTTCCTTGTGGCTTGTCTTATATCAAACCCAAGCCTGACTGATTCACCCAAAAATAAGTAGATGAGCGGCAGAGAGCTGAAAAAAGCATCGCATATTGCATAAAATGCATTTATACTTCCCTTGGACACACATTCCACACCAAAATCTCTACAGCACTGCATAACTCCATAGATCCAAGACATATGTTGAGATATAAGATAAAAAGCAAAGCAAGGTAATACCCAGATAAGCTAAATAATATCAGATGATTAAATTAATAACATAAAAATGAGAACACAGGAAATTACCAAAGAGATCAGTGATTTATGATTAGTGTGTCTACATTTTTCAGAATGTAGAGTACAGCTTCATTGCAGAGTGGGTCTATCTCCAGCCGTATCTGATTGGTATGTGTGTGTTTGTGCATTTCTGTGTGTGTCCATGGTTTGTTTAGACTGGTCGGGAAAGCGTGAGACCAGAGTGAGTGGGCAGAGGCCATACTTTAGGGTTCAAAGTAAAGCGGGGAGGGACCCCCTCGTTTTGGAGGAATGTCGAGGAGGAGGCCTGATGGTTAGCTGGAGATGGTGTAATTAAGGGGTGTGATTGTGAGAACCTTCCCTTCCCCGGGCCCTGCAAGGGTCACAGATAAAAGAGCAGCCCTTAGCCTCTGTTGCTCTCACATGTGGAAAATCACAGTAACACAGGTTTGCACGATAAATGCACGCGTGCTAATGCGTGGTTGCATCCCCGTGCGAGACGCAATCAGAGGAGCAGATAATACCCTACCTGGGAATCCTCCTGCAAGCGGTGGGAGTCGGTGGCTGCAGGTTATAGATTGTGGTTCCTTGACATTGGAAGCCTATTGGGCAATAAGGCCCCATAGAGCTTCTGAGGAGCGTCATAAATTAGACAGCTCTGGGAGGCTCCTTCTAATCATGTGGGCCTGTGCGTCGCCCTGTTGGTGTGGTTCTAGTAATTTGGCCCTGCCTGACTTGCTATTTGCAGAGTAAGAGCTTGATGACACATTGCAAGCTCCTTTGCAAGCGCGGCACTGTGTGTCATGCGCAGTGGCAGGGTGTGGCGTGGGATGATAAGTGTGCTGTTGCGTTTGCTGACTGCATTTGTTTAGTGCAAATGCACGTCCCCCTTCCTAACCCACCTTCCCTGTTTCAGATCATAGCCAAAGCGTAAAGGGTCCACACAGCTGGCCAGCATTTTGATCATGAGCCGTCATTCACATTTTAATAAAAACCTGGCTTCCCAATAATCCTCAGTTATGGGAAGAGACACAGATTGCTGTAGGTCGGAGTGATAAAGGAGCATATTAAGGACACTATTTAGAGCCCTAATGGGATGTATTCTTCCTGCTGCAGCACGCCATTAGTTGAAAACATGTGAGCCTGTGTGTTTGTCTTCAGATTGTTGGATGTCGGTACAATTTGTTGAAAGAGGTCAGCGTGACATAATTCCTCACCGTCTCTGCTGTTGTGTTTTCACACTGTTGATTCGCTCACTCTAAACAAGAACATGAAGATGAAAGAAAAATCTCTGTCAGGCAAAACAAGTTTTCTGAAATACACTTGAGCCCTGCAGAGAAATGATTCACAGGGCATCGACAGCTTTTTTTGCGGGAGAGACAGTATAATCCTTTCAAGAACCCCCTTTCCCAAACCCCTTAGCTTTCGATCAACTCCAGATGAGAGGGTTGCTCAGACCCTGATGACTCTTCTCTTTCTCTCCTTCTTCCTCCAGGGTGCAGGATAGAGAACTGTGAGTCCTGCTTCAGCAAAGACTTCTGCACCAAGTGCAAGTCAGGTTTTTACCTACACAAAGGGCGCTGCTTTGATAAGTGCCCCGAGGGCTTTGCCCCGCTGGAGGAGACCATGGAGTGTGGAGGTACGTGAAACACAACAGATATGTACAAAAAAAAGTTTCAAGAGAGTAAACAACCTTGTCTTTTACAGCTTTCTTTACCTTTGCACAGTACTATATCATTTCTCAGTTAGCCTGCTTATATTGTACCAAAACACAAGTTCAACGTTCAACTGGGACCACACACAAAGAGGTTATAGCATCCCAGTAAAGCTCCTTCACCCTGTATTAAAGTTTGACCTGGGGTCTTTGGGTTGCCTCTAAATTGCACTCTGCTGTGGTTTCACTGCACATCACTGTTTGTGTGTGTCTCTGCAGAGGGCTGTGAGGTGGGCCAGTGGAGTGATTGGGGAGCCTGCACCAGGAGAAACAAAACCTGTGGCTACAAGTGGGGTCTGGAGACCCGGACGCGGCACATTGTAAAGAAACCACCCAAGGACACAATACCCTGTCCCACCATCGCTGAGTCCAGGATGTGCAAAATGGCCATGAGGCACTGCAGGAGAGGTAAGAATGTTATACAGCCATATGTTGATGTGTGTGTGAGAGAGATATTCTGTCAGTCAGTGCCAGCTCCATCCATGTTCACTACTCTGGTGAATGTAAAAAAAAACAGCCCACTTATCCCATGGAGAGAAATCTTTCCCCCTCTCAGAGTTCCACCTGTTTCATGTAACCCTTGTACCTTGCACTCAGCCTTGTTTGTTCACCGTCTGCGTTTTTGAGGTGCACAGTGGTGTTTCCGTGCATATAATATACCAGTAGTTTTCCATGGCGGCCTTGTTCGAGCCAGCTCTTTTTCTGAGGTATATTTTTCCCCCCTCTCTCTCCCCATCTCCCTTCCTCTCCTCAGTGGAATTCTTCAAAGTACGAACTGCAGGTTTCCTCAATGGCCGTCTCTGTTTCCTCCCGCCAGCTTGAGAGATATTTGTGGTAGTCACAGCATGTATGTCAGGCCATTAAATGAGAAGTCAAATCTGGAAATTCTCTGTGTGTGAATAGTGCAAAAAGTAAACCATTTCTCTAAGACGGTCCAAACATGCCATTTGGGGTGATGGCCTCAGTTAGCAGTGCTTTTAAAATAAATGTCTTTTCCCTTAATGTACTTTTACATTTCTCATAAACTTTGGATTAGGATAGGCCAAGTGTAAATATTTAATTCACCAAATAAGGAAGCAATTACAGTGGCAGATATCATTCAGACTGTCAAAAAAAGAAAAACATTGTTTAACAGAAAGAGGAAAATATTCAAACCTCGAGGATTTTTCTCCATTTTTGGCCTGGAGTGTTGAATGGGAAGATTATTTAGCGAAGTGGTGAAAGAGTAAATAAACTTGAAATAAACCCTGGTAGTTTCTCATATTTCACCACTACCAAGGCAGTCGCTGCTCTCTAGGCTGGAAACTGTGATTCCATGGCACATTAAGTTCCTATAGCCCTGTCCTGTTTTTCAGAGAAATTCTCCCCAACCCCCACGCATCTCTTCATGACTTTACCGTGCCTGCTTGACCTTTTCCAAGAAACTTTATGACCTTCTTTAATTAAAATTTGGCATTGTTGTGCGTAGTTACTGACGGCAATTATCTTAAGCATGAAGTCACTGATGGGAAGTTGTTGTGAATTCTAAATTGAGTACATAGCAAAACCATTCTTCTTCCGACCTTTAGAAACCGACAGCAGGCTCCCCATGTGCGTTTTACTTAAAGCTACTGTTCCCTGGTGATGCTGCCATTGCAAGCCTCTCAGTACA